CTTGAAGCGCACAGCAGGAGATCAGTATCTTCCGTCTCTTTCGCTGGAGGAAGCCCGTTCGCGGCGGGGAGAAAAGCATCGATGGTTATAGCTCTTAGCCTACTGTTCGGGCATGAAAGTCACGTATATATGGTACAAGTATTCTACAACCTCCGCCTAATCGGATTTAAAAAAGACGCTACCCTACTCTGTCTATACATTCGGGGTCTTTAATCAACAGAGCTACCCTGGACTTCTAGACATAGCGAAAGAAACCATTAACTCATCGACATTTGGTTTACGAGAGAAAAGGCTTCCAGTCCGAACGCGCAGCGCCTCTGCGGGAATAACGGGGCTCATTTCTCAGTGTCAATTCAATAGCGCTCATAAACTTGGTGTCTCAAGCCCATCGGGAACGTGTTTTTGGAGAGCTCGAATGGATTAAAACCCAGCCACCTTTCAAATCCTTATTGAACACAAGACCGACTGAATAGGCGTTCAAAGGGTCGCTGTAGTAAGTACGGCACTTACCTCAATTTTGCTCCACACCCAGCGCTTGTGACTTGTATTCCGTGAATACAATAAATACAATCCCGTAGTTTCGAGAGTCGGCTTTTTTGCTTTCTTTCCCCCATACCCACGACCGACGCTACGGCGAAACGGGAATCATGGCCTCAATGGAAATACCCCCCAACATCGCGCATACGTGAGTTGCCTCGTACATTCTTTCGAAATTTTTGAGCTCGCGAGCTTACCATTGAGATAGAACAGGACCTTTGGTGCGTTTTTGTGGGACGTTGATGTGATGGGAGGAGATCTGAGTTACTCCCAGCTTCTAGGATTCCTCCTGAACTACGGTCTATTCGGAGTTCTTTCCGTTCAAGTTTGTGAGTACCGCGAAGCTCGATTATGAGGTCGTCCCTCCAGGCTAATACACATATCAGATACGTACTACGAATACTTCCCGAGCGACCCGTGGCACTTGAAGCTCCTCGTTTATGGGCTTTACGTCGTTGAAGCCCTTCAGTCGATCTTAATCACATCGGACGCGTTCGAGAAGTTCGCATATGGATTTGGAGATCTAGGAGGTTTAAACAAGATGAACCTCTTATGGCTGGATTGCTGCATTATTGATGGAGCCGGTTCGATTCTCCTCTACCCCCTTTTCTAGTTCCATATGCTGACCTCAATAAAAGTCGCGTTCTGTGTTCAGTTGTACTTTGCGCATAGACTATATCTCTTGTCGAAGTCTAAGATACTTTCAGGGGGCATCCTTTTCGTGAGTTACTTCACGAGTTACGGTTTCCTGATTCTGTTGTTCAATCTTGTCGTTTTGGTACCTAGATGGCTCTGGCACAATTCTCCGGTGCGGTAGCTACTGGAATACTGGCCGAAGCTGCTGGTCTTTTCTCCCTCATCAGGGAGCGATGCTTCGAAGCTGCGGTGGTAGGCTAATCCTCTCTTATCCTTCTCGCCATATGGATTGAAACTCACGTCTCTTGTTGTTAGTTCTGGCTCGGTGGAAGCGCTGCCTGTGATATTGTTATTGCAGTAGCGATGACTTGGGCAGTAAGTGCTTCTTCGTACCTCGGCGTCGTATCGGTGATAGAGGCTGACCACGCAAACCTCCCTCTAGCTTTCCAGATACCAGAGCAGATTCCAAGAAAGTGGCGATGTCGTAAAACGCCTTATTAGGCTAACTATGGAAACTGGAAGTTTAACTGGTGAGTCTTCCTCGATTCTCACGATGGTGGATGTCCTTTCGTTCTTACTTTCCCTTGTGTCACAGCCACTGTCGCCTTCGTCGACCTCGTTCTTTACCTGTCATACCCCGACAATGCCTACCACATCACCCCGGCGTTGGCTCTGGCCAAACTTTATTCCAACTCGTTGATGGTCGTCATGAACAGCCGTCCTGGTGGTCAGAGAAATCAACCCACCGAGACGATCATGGAAAGCCCTCGAAGCTCGAAGAGTAGTCTCGAGCTCACCCCATCCGTCCATCACAACTCAGGCACTCGTTCAAAACACTCCTCGTTTACTCCCACATCTCTACCCATCGTACCTTCGGCGAGTGGACATGGACATGATGATATGTCTATCGTCAGCCAGAGCACGGTTCCTCCGATGGATCCGCATCGGGTGAGTGTTCGCTTTTGGGCTCTCTTATCAAGATACCCGGTTGCTCACTTGGACTAAAGCGCCCGAATCCTACAATCGTATCCCATTCACTTCTTAGTCGCCAGTTGAGCAGTCGAACGGGTTCTACATGGGCTGACTCGGCCGCTTCCCCGGTAGATAGCTACAAGGTAAATAGTTCTTCTTCCCCCCTGGAATCGAGCGCTGAAAATCTTTCGTGACTCTCAGAATCGTCCTTCGACCATCGGAAGCTCGGAAATGGCTCCGAATAGGTTCTAGATAAATTCCTATGGTTTGTGAAGTTTATTGTACATATCATATAAAACGTGCCCTTGTTGGTCAGTAGATATTGGCGGCTTCGTACCTATCATTCGACGTCTCCCCTTGGTGTTCCTAGCCAAGTTATAGAAGCCATCTGATTCGATCAATGTAAATTTGTTGTTCCCGCCCACCGTGCTACGGCAGAGTAAGTTTCAGAGCAGTTAGTGCAATCACGTCGCACATATCTCAGACCCGGAATGGTAAAGCAGTGAACCGCAAAACCAGCTTTGATCCTATCCGGCTCGGTTGACACGGAACTTGCGTTGACTTGGAACCTTGCCCAAACTCTGCTTGGGTGCTGGTCAACCGCTCACAGAACACGAGCTCAACTTCACTAAGGAGGAAGAGATAGCGTTCCTGGCTTCAAAAACGGGGCCAAGGAAACAGCATCCTGGTACACCGTGTGGCTGACGCCTCACAATACACAAGTTCCTCTATGAGTGAGAACAAATCATGTTATCTTTTATCCATCCGGCTCGGGCTCTTTTAAACGCTTGATACATATGTAGCTTGAGATCCCTTGGTAACAACACTGATACTGAGCCACTAGTAAAGCAATGATTAGATGGGCCAGCCGTGATTTCTTGATGCATAGACCAAACGTTCGGAATTCTCATCATTCCTGACTGGGTGATCGGTCACCAAAAAAGCTTTAAAAGGGGTGAGTTTCTAAAGAGACTTCAGCAGCCTGGTTTGCTCATACCCATCTCTCTTTCACTTCAGCTTGTGCCAGAGGACCGGCTTCTCTCGTGGCATATTTTCCTTTCCTGACATCATTCGTCCTTTCTATCCTATCTCGCTGGTCCCGCTCACGACTTTCGATGCGACCCTTCACTGCCCGATTCCTATCCCTGCTCATCGTGTTTCTATGTCTTGCGGACATAGTACTCACGGCCCCCACGCCTGCCAAAGTGCTCCAAGCTCCTCACCCGCCACTTTTTCGACGCTTTGACTCACGCTCTATTCTACAGGTATCCAAGAAAGCCGTAGTCAAGAATGTACGGCCAGGAACTAAGAAGGCCGCGCCAGTATTCCCGAAGAAAGCTAGTCCGAGAAAAAAAGTGGCTTCAAAGAAGGTTACGACGGGTAAGAAGAAACCGTCCAAGCCGAGTACCGGCAAACAACCCAAGAAACCGAACACTACCAACTCTCCGACTAAACCCAAGGCAGGCTCGACCAAGCCCATCAACCCTCAAGGGAATACCAATGGTACCGGAGCAGCGTGTCCATTTTCCCCTAAAGCAACGAAGCCTATAGCCAAATCAAAGTCGACTTCGAAGAAACCTCGGGAGGTTCTTACCGCCTTTTTCGGCCTGTTTCGTAGAGCAAGGGAGCCAGAATTTGTTGGATGGCACGGAACAACGGCTGTGAGTTTGATTCAATTATCAGTTCATTATGAAACCAATTCGGATATTTCCCCTTTCCCCTTATAAAGAGAAATGCGAAAGAGTATCAAAACGCGCCAAGTCTTGTTGTTCCGTGAGTTGCATACGATTATAAAAAAGGACCTCTTGTGACAAATTGGTCAGGAGCGAATTCAACGGAGCTGACGGTGAACTTGGCGCCGGTTTGTATATTGCGGACGACATTGACAGGTATGTTTGGACTTCCTTTCTTGCCACTATCCCAATTACTGACCCTCACCAAAGTGCTCTATTTTACGCCAATACGGCAGCAAAATCCCGGAAAAACTGTGGAGATACCGAAGGTGGCGCGAGTGACCCAGTGATATGCAAAGTTGAAGCAAAAGACAGTGCAAGCTTCAGAGATGACATAAACAAGCTATGGATCCCAGCACCAAAAGGATTTGCTGAATTGATCAAAGGAGTTGGCAATAATCCCGACAAGCTGAGGGAGCAAGAGAAAAGAATCGTACAAGAGGGCATGAATCCAGCGGATACGTTGAGGTTCGGTGTTTGTAAGTCGCTATTATCAGCATTGATAATTGTTTTCCTTGACGAAGTGATTGATATCATTTTTGCAGTCGCTCGAGATAATCCTCATAAAGTCAACAGTGGCAATCAGCTCATGCTGCCCCCTGGAGCATTCGAAAATTTCCAGTGAGGATCCCTCGTCTACCGAAGGCCAATTTCTCATCTCCATCACTCATAGAATTCGTCAATGTCTCCCCGTCAAGAAAGAAGTCAAAAATATCCTAACGGCCGCCGACTTCGATAAGTTTAATCCGAAGCCGGCTAATTTTCCTGATCATAACTTCAGAGACTTGACGACGCGGTGGAAGATTGCTGGGAGCCCTACATGAGATTAAAGTGCTTTTAAGTAGGAGGAGAATACCAATTAGCAAGTCTTAGATTGAGAACGTGATCAATCGACTCAAAGGCGCGGAAAGCTGAACGGGTGAATTACAATACGTGGCGTTGTGGTGACTTCAGCTTGAATGTACCCTTACAGTTGTTTTTCCGAGAAACGAATCGTTGTAGGTTATCTGTGGCCTGTACTATGAGGGAAAGCTACTGAAAATGAGGAAAGGTCTAAGAGGCTGGATTATCAACTTGACCTATCCTCCTGACTAACGGTTATCGAGCTTCAGTTCAGGAAGCGGCCTGATGGTCTAGTAATGTGATTCCTTGTTAGGGTTGATTCTGACTCTAGGTCTATCGAGGAGGTCCCGGGTTCAATATTCAATTCCCGGTCAGGCCCATGTCAAGCAATGGAACATTTTTGGCTACAGAAGCTCAGACTGTAAATCAACCCCCCCCGCAGGCACATGAGGTGTCAAATCTTGGAACCCTCTCTGAATTTGCCACCTCAACTTCACCTTCTCAAACTCGAGCTTCGGAAGTTATCATCTATCCGAGAACGTCGAGTTTAGTACTAAGGCTAGAGTACAGGACTTTTCAAGTTGGAGGAACGCCCTATCGGACTATAGGACAAGTTCAGGAGCGAAGCCTCAAGCTCAAGAGGTGCGGACGACGATTGCTTCCGAGCAGATGTATTGACGATAGCACCCCGATAGTAGTAGCCTCTATACTCCAGAGACTCAGTTAGGGTAGTGAATCGAGCTCTGCGCGGAGGATAGACTGCTTACCAAGTACGCTCCTCCTTGTGCAAGCAAACGACTCTGAGGTAGGGACCACGATCCACCGGATTGCTGTGGCAGAACAGTAATTGCCGAGCCGCTCGGACCGAAGCTGCCGTATCGGCGTTGCTACTCAATTGTCCGGTGTGAGGTGTGACGTGATAACACGTTTCATCTCATTGACCCTTGACCCCAAACGACCATCTTGATTCTCCATCGACGGATTTCGAACATTGAGCACCATGTGGGTACACGAGCAACTTCTTGCTTGTAACATCTCTGACGGTACTCAGAGTTCCATTTTGTCAGGCGACGAAACTGCCCTGAACAAAACAGTTGTGAATTTGCATAGCTATTGGTGATACATATCGTACCATCTTGGTGCGTTGATATAACTTTTCGATTTCAAATACACTCTAACGAATGTTTCGTCTATCAGAAATCGACAGAAAAACAACCACGGAGAGTAGGCAAGAAGGACCCGGAATCGTAACTCCAAAACTCCGTGAAGTTCTCAATAGTGGGCAAAAGTGATCTTGAGGGAATTGGGTGGTCTCTAACACGCTCGTCGTATCTTCATAGCCGAACAAAGCGAGAACATTCGTCTTATCAAACCAGTACGCTCTCTGGATCTGAATAGCTGCAATCTTATCACTAACCCGGCCTTCATTCATGACCCCAAGGAGGACCATAACGACGCGCGCTTTGGAAGGAAAAGTTGAGATTGGAAGATACGATTGGTGAAAGTCATCGCGCATTGTATGTGTCGTTCCCACCAATAAATTCGATCAACTAACAACGGATAGAGTTGTAACGAGCTGCTCACGAAAATCAGGAAATGGCCAGCAACACCCAGAGAATCAGTACTCCTCTTAGTACCCCTCAGCAGAGGCATTTCTCAACGCCGCCATCATCCACTGATTCTCCGGCTACATCCTTCAACTCGCGAAATTCCCTCCAAACCATGCCCAAATCGAATCGCCTATCAACACCATCATCACTCTCCAATCGTCTGAGCTTAACAAGCAGCAGACCAGCACCACCGAGCCCTGCTGTATCGCGGAGGACCAGTACAGCTCTGTCGTCTATACCTGCGGCGACTTCAAGACCTAATTCACTGGAGAAGAGGGGCAGTTTGCTCCCTCTCACCCCCACCGCTCCCGACACACCGACCTCGGGCACGACAGACCCCACATCATTGTCGGCTCGTCGATCTATTCAAATTCGTGACTACGCCTTCCGGGTTAGCATCAGTGATCCCCGTGCACTGGGTCTGGGCGAGGACGTGCCGAAGCCGAACCGGGTTAGGTTATTGAATCGAAAGCTGCTCGGTGAACAGGGTTGGAGGATCTGGAGGAAGAAGAAGCGGGAAGAAACCAAACGTGCTAGAGGAAGTGTCGGAAGCATCAGTAGTGTCGCAAGTAGCCAGCGTAGTGAGGACGATTGGGAGGACGAGGACGTGGTAAGCGCATATTTGGCTTCGGACCGTGGCAGCTTTTGCGTTGTATCAATTTTTTTCCTTTCCTTTCCGCCTTCCCTTCCCACTATACCATCGTTTTTTTATCATGCTCGCTCTTGCTTGTTTCCGCGATAACCTATCTGTTGCTGACGGTACGCTTCATACTCCACAGCCCATCTCCGATTCAGATGAAGATGATGAAGATGTTAGCGGATGGGGTAACTTTGAAGAGAATGACCGAAGTGCTCTGACCACACCCGACGACGAAGGTATGCCCTCCGCCCTTCTATTCTTGCCCCGACGTCCCCACTATCGTGTCCAAAATAACCCTTGTCCGCTTTTCACAAAATTCGATGACCAGACCCTTGCTGAACACCGTACGTTCAGACGATTATTACCCTGAGGAGCAAAATTCAGGTGAACTACGACCGGGACTGTATCGGGCGTTGTTCGACTTTGAGCCCGAGGGTGCAGACGAAGTATGTTTGTTGCTTTTCTCGTTCTCTTTCTTCCCACTGACGCACGCCTTTAGATGGCGCTCCAAGAAGATCAAGTCGTACGTGTCATTGGACGAGGGGGCGATGGATGGGCTGTTGTTCTGATGGATTCTGGTGCTGCGGACGGTGAGAATACGGCGCAGAGTCAGAAACATGCGTTGGTTCCCGAGGGGTACCTGGAGGCTGTGGAGTTGGATGTGTAGGCGAGTTATTTATTGGATTTGAATGTTGATCTATTGCTCGAGTTTGTCGCTTTCCCGTTTGTATAGTACTTCTGTGCGCCTACTGAATTTCTTTCAAGCTAGTCGTTTGTCAAGTACTTTTTTTTTTTTTGGCGAAGCTGGTTGCGATATTGCATGATTGCAGCCCGAGTACACCGTTGACAGTACGGAGAGGGCGCCGGCGCTATGGCAGTGTAGGAACGTGGAGACCGCCTGATAATGTTACATGGCGTATAAATACTCTCGTGTGCTTTGGGGATGCACTTTCCTTCCTTTCACGTCCCTGGAGGAGACGCAACGTGGTATGGGCTTGACTGACTCGATAAAAGGTATTGATTGGCTAACACCGACGTATTCAGGTTAACTGCCCAAATGGAACAAAGAACTCTTCTCTGCCAAAATTGCAAGCACGAATTCGTTGTATCCATGAATCCAGACCCACCACTTGATCTATTCCGGTCTTTTCAGCCCATTTCTCAATCCGAAGCTGCATCACAGCTCGATTTCATGGGATCAGAATCCCAAGTGCTCCAGAGATATGACGCACAAATTGCTCAGACCAAGTCTGTTCTTCGGAATCTCGAGGACGCACGGCGACGCATCCAAACCCAACTAAATGCACGACGGTCGCTGTTTTCCGCAGCGCGAAGGATTCCTGTCGAGATTTGGAGAGATATCTTCGCGCGTGTATGCTTTCCCGTGGGTGAAGGGACGGAGCAGCTGTACTTTGGGCATTACACTCCCTTTTCCCCGATTCAAGTGGATATCAACACACCTTGCCGTGCGATTCCCCTCGGCCTATCCCAGACATGCTTGGAGTGGAGAACGATTGCTTTTGGCTTTTCGGATCTTTGGTTGCGCATGTGGATCGATTTGTCGTATCTGACGGCGGGGAGAATGTCGTTGCTTGAAAACATCCTCCCTAGGTGTGGTGGACGCCCGTTAACCTTGTTACTTCGGACTTCGTTGGGATATTCGTGGCATAGCGATGGTCATGAGCATCTCATTCCAAGGATTAGGGATTTCCTCCAGGCCGCACTTGAGATATCGTGGGAAGTGGAAATGTACCTCGACCTTTTGGAGAATTTCGACTTCGAAGGAAAACTTGCGGTTCCGCGACTCGAATCCCTTACCATTATCAGTCCTTTTGAGCAACCTGATCTATTGAGTTCATTCCCTAGCGACCAAGTGAAGACCTTACTCACAGCTCCTTCACTGAGTCGTCTTTCGACGTTGAACAAATTAACGTGGCTATCAACGAAGCCCATGCAGCTTCTAATCCCGCCTTCCACCCTCACAACGATTGAGTGTTGGGACCATGTACAACATCACCACCTCGCCGCCATTGCTGATGCTTGTCCAATGCTTACGACAATGAGGATCCGGGTCCAGCACCTTGGCTCCGACGAAGAACTGCCACCATCATCTACGATACTATCATTTCCCCTGCTTCAAACGCTCCAATTCGAGACCGTTTCGGTCAACGACCCTTTTAGGGACTTTGACAACCTCATCCTTCCCTCTCTGACCGACCTTGAGATCTCCGTACCTCACGTGGCGAGAACCGACCCTGATTCCCCATCTCGATCACTCGTACTGCCATCCTTCCTACGTCGATCTGGGTCCAGCCTAAGGCGGTTCAAACTCTCGGCTCCCTATCTACACTTCGTCAGATTCCACAACGACGATGGGGAGTGGGAGCGCCCTGCGGAATTTTCACAGATGTTCAAAGAAGTGTTCAGTCTCTCGCCAGAGATGAGGGAGCTTGATCTCAAATTCGAGTTAACAATCTATGACGATGTATTTGGGTCGACGTTCTATTTACTTTGCGAGATGCTGATGGGGGAGGAGGTTGTCCCTGCTTTGGAGAGGATATCCGTTGATCTGCGTACGTTGCATATTACAAGAGACGAGAGGCTTCATTACGATTTGGTGAATCATTTTCTCCGGGTGCTGGAACGTCGCGCTGCCGAAGGGGGAGCTGGAGGGTTGAAATATGGTAGACTTTACCTCGATGAGAAGGACGGCTACGAGATTGACGATTTGCCTTATGATATTGACGCGAGAGGGGAGGTGAATCTGGATGATGTTACGCGTCAACTAGAAGCGCTTGAGGGTTGGGGGGTGAAGTGTGTTATAGAGAACCTCTCCGTGTGAGTAGTTAGCCCTGTCAGAAACGAATCCAACATCTTACTGGGTGGATCTCACGGTCGAATATCTTTTCTTGCGTGTGGATGCCGGAGCTATACGCAACAGCCTTGTGATATTCATAGAGCGGCGGTAAACGGTCTGAGAGATATAACTGAGAGCTGGGTATATCCAATCGCAAGATGCCCCATTCGTCGGGTGAGGATGTACTTGCTCGTGTTCTTGAATTCGCTCTTCGCACGCCTTCGCGGAGCTCGGTTAGCCTCCAATACATTTACTAAAACCGTTTTACTTTT